TAACAAAATTGATGACTTCTTAAGGAATGATTGGACTAAGAATCTTGATCATAAAATATTCCCAGAAGTTTTAATTACTACAACACTTGATACTTATGATAGAAAGACATTCAGTTCATATGTAGATTTCTTAAATATTATAGATAGCAAAGAAAAGAAATTATTTGAACCTTTGAATAAAAATTTTTATTCAATAGATTATGACTTTTACAATTTGCTTGGATTAAACAGTGATGTCTTAGCAATAGACGAAAAATTTCAAGATTATATTCAGCTTTCTCTGTATGATAAATCAACACAATTACCACAATTTGTTGAAACAATACAAATTGGATCAAACAAAGTACTTCAAAAATTTTATAATAATTACTGGGAAGAAAACAAGGCATTTCTTTCAAATCGCTTTGAACAAGATATTAGGTATATTGATGCTTCGAAGATTGAAATTGAAAATGAGAAAGATCAATTCACAATGCTTCTTCAAATTTTGAGTATAAAAAACACAATAGATAAAAGAATAAAACAGACTGCAATACAAAATTATGAATCAACTTTAGAAAGCTGGAATTTATTTATTACACAAAATTATCAAGACAGTTTTAAAGAACAAATAGGTCAAATTCAAAGTTACTTTAATATTAATTTAGACGAAGTCAAAACCAATGATGTGGATCCCTTTCAATTAGCTTACCGAATTAATGAAATAATTAATGAAGTATCTAAAATAGCATTACAGTTGGGTGGTCGGCCAACTAATTAAATCAAACCTATTGGTAAACCTTTATCAAATTGTATAATGTATTTTTTTTGCTTATACATTGTTGTATCAAAAATTTCTATCAGTAGATAGAATTATTTAAATTGGTTTAGTAAACTCTGTCTTAAATAACAAATCAAGATGTTTTTTGATTTAATTTTTTATTAAGTTCCATTACTTTTGTTTGGGTTTGTCCAGGTTTGCTGAAGTGTTCGATGCACGTCAATTATTGGGGTGTACTCTTTAAAGTAATAACGCTCTTTTTTTATTTTATTTTTATTTTCTGGAGCGTAGCAAGTACTCGAATTGATACTAAAATTCTCATTTTTGATTTATTATTAATAAAAATATCAAAAACATAGCTATTGCATATGTGTTACAATATGCACAAAAACTCAGTAGTATGTTTTTGATATTTTTATTAACAATATATCAAAAATGAGAATTTTAGTATCACTTTAAGTACTTACTACGCTCCAAACAATAAAAATAAAGAGCATTATTACTTTAAAGCGAAATTTCAAAATAAGTTAATATGTGGAATGTCAAGATACAATTTGAAGTTTGCAATTTTTGGTAAAAAATTACCATATATTTCTCGACATTTTATATATTAATCTATTTTAGAAATTTCACATGAGAGTTTAGTGGAGCTGC